ACGGCTATTACCTAAATGCAAAATGGTTTTCATGTATTTCAGTCAATTGTATATTGTCGGTCCCAGTGGCCGAGCTAAAAAAAATCGGTAGTGTTTTGCATCTTTTACGCCCTAAGAAACTACACCATCTATCGAAGTGGGCGGGCTTATTTGAATGGGAGGGCGCATTATGCACGAATCGTGTGCTTTCGTTTATTTTGGACTGTATTTTACCACATCCACTGCTGGTATCACTATTAATATTATCTAATGCCGTGAATAAGACAGCATTCCATTTATAAGATTGGGCCAATGGAGTCGCGCCCCGCGAGCTCGGTTTTCCGCTGCGCCGCTACAGGCCAGGAAGTCGGTCTTCGCTTGAGGGCAGGACAAAGGTCAGCGAGGGAGCCCGGGGTCAGCCAGGTATCGCCAAGTGCCGAGCGGATGCCGCTCCCTCCCCTCTCTTCCCCTCTTCTCCCCTCCCCACCTCGGTATAGATGGGGAGGGACCGAACTGCCAATGACATGCGAGCGGTCAAGGCCGCTCGCGCGACAGCGACCCTGGCGGCCGGGTGCCGCAACTGGGATTCAGCCAAGTTACCGATTCGCCTCCTGTGGGAGAGCCAAACCAGGGGACATACTTTTTAGATATACTGTACGCATCGGAACAGTCCAAATATTTCAGAATCACAATGATTTAGTCCACTCGTGATGACCAAGGTGTCATTTTTGCTGATAGCCTCTAGACAGGTCATCCGAGGTCACTTGAGGCTACAAACAGTTTTTTGCCAATAACTCGCGATTGGAAAGAGATAGAACGCTGGGGATGGTCTTATTGTGTTTGTCTTGTTGAGAAGCATCGAATGATATGCAACATGACCTTTTCCGGTCAGGTCATGACCTTGACCTGAGGTCAAATTTTCAAGTTGACCTTTCAAGGTCAAATTATAGTTCATTCGACGCGTCTTGGCGAGGGGAACACGATTCTGGCAATGAAAATTTCGTGGGTTTTTGTAGTCGTAAGTTATTGTCGAAAAACACTTTTCGCAGAAACAGCTATTTTTGGAGTTTTTGCCCTCTGGAGTTTAAACCGTTGACCTGAGGTCAATATTGATAATGACCTTTTCAAAAGAAGAGTTCAAGAGCTATCGTTTGTACTTCCATGCGTTTTTCTAGCTACCATAGTTCCTGAGATAGCGCCATGTTTTCTGAAAAATATAATGACAATTGGCAAATTTTGACCTTTGATGACCTCTGGTGACCCCAATATTGCTCTAAGGTGAAAAATGACCGAAATACTTTCAAACGTACGCATTGAGAGCTATCGACTGCTTTTTACCGCGTCTTTCTAGCCCTCTTAGTTTTTGAGTTAGAGGTGGGTGGTAACATATGCCCCCCCCCCACTAGGGCGAAGTTGGCTGAGACCGCCACTGGGGTGCGGGTTAACCCGCGCCCTGCTGGGGGGGGGGGGGGTGTTTGAACACCCCCTTGTGGTTTTTGTTACACCTTATCATACATCAATTCTACACATGTTGTGAAAATTTCAGACCAAGGTCATTCAAGGTCAGGTCACCAGGTCACTTGAAGTGACCTCACCTCATAAAAAGTTTCAATGTCTGCCATAGCTACACCGAGTGACCGATCGCTTTGAAACTTTCAGCGATGGCTAAGAGCAATAGCATGTATGTACAAAATGTATATCTCAGAATTTTTATATCGATGACCTAAGGTCAGGTCAATTTTGCGACCTCCCCGTTATAAGTCAATGGGAGAAAATTGAAATGCGCCTCTTTTGGACAAATGACATTATAAACACTCCCAAACACTGAATTACAAGTGGTTAAGACTTACTGAACATGAAAATGGTGTCTGTGACCCCTGTGTATGCCCTGAGGTCATCTTAGGTCACGAATGGTATCTAACAGTTTTTCGCAAATAACTTTTGATAGAGGCATGCTAGAGCGATGAAAACGCCTTAGATGTGTTCAGATTGACGATACGGATCGACTGATATGCAATATGACCCTTTCCGGTCAGGTGATGACCTTGACCTGAGGTCAAATTTTCAAGTTGACCTTTCAAGGTCAAGTTATAGTTCGTTCGATGCGTCTTGACGAGAGGAACACGATGCCGGTAAAAGTAAGCTCGTACAAGGCTTGGGTCAAAAGTTATTGCAGAAAAACTGTTTTCGAAAAAATTGGCTTTTTTGCAGTTTTTGCCCCCTGCAAGCAAAACCGTTGACGTTAAGTCAAATCTGAGAGAATTACTCAGAAAGGGCGTTAATAGGGCTATCGAATGCGCTTTTCCGCGGCGCTGTAGCTCTATTGGTTCCCGAGTTATGCGTTGGCTTCTTGGAAATTGTCGACATTCGACCTGGAAATCGGCGAAATTTTGCCTTCAATGACCTCTGGTGACCTGACCTTTGACCTGACCAAAAAATTGACAAAAAAGTGATTTCGTCATTATTTTTGGCGCTCTTTCGAACACCGCCTTCTGCGTATCGCTACGTGGCCCAGGAGCCGAGTTACAAGGGGGGTGTTCAGCCCCTCCCCCCCCCCCAGCAGGGCGTGGAAATCCAGGACCCCGGCCGGGCGCGGGTCAAACCTCGATATCTCAAAAATTTGCCGACCGATTTTTTTGAAACTTAGTCACAATAAACTTTAATCAATTCCCTACAGGTACAGGGACCCGCAGTTGCTACTGTACACATATATTACCAATTTAGAATTGTGCTATTGTAGGAGTTGGAGTGCATCTCTTGGAGTGCGAGTGCACCGCATTTGCATCTCTGCGGCCGGGAGCATGCTGGCGGCCGGCGGCCCGGGCGAGGGCGTGACCGAGGCGGCGCGCGGGCTGTACTCGGCGTTTGCATCTCTGCGGCCGGGAACGTACCGGCGGCCGGCGCCCCGGGCGAGGGCGCGGCCGAGGCGGCGCGGGGAGTGCTCTGTGTTCGGGAGGGATTCTGATGGTTACTGCTGTGTCGGACGGTTGTCCAGGTCGAGCTGTCCAGTGCTCGCGTTGTGATATTGCTTGGTGTCACTCACAATACAGCAAAGTCAATGCAACATTCGCTTTGCAAGTTACAACGCGGTCTACACTATTATTTGCTAAGTGCTGGCCATTGAAGAAAGGAAATGTAGCGCAAAGTATGGAGGAATAGCACATGATTGCTCCTAGGACGTATGTTTTGCATAATTCCTCTTACCGCAACAGATATTCTTCCAAAACTACAATCGTGCTATTTTTCCGTGCCGGTTGCCTCCCCAGAGCCCGTCCTTGGTATCGCCTATAGCTTCCGTTCCTCTACGTCAGGGGTCGGCAAATGGTGGGGCATGCCCCCTTTGGGGGTAATGGAGCCCTTTCGGTGGGGGTAATGAGGGATTCTGAGAAAGCCTATCTTTTTAGAGTTTGTAGCTCCAGTGATGGAGCCATCGTGACTGTTGCATCCCAGGGTTCAAAGATTAGCCCAGGCCAAAGGCACAGCACACATTGATTAGATACCAATTTTCATGTACCTGCTCGCCTCACCATCTCACCCCTCCGTACAGTCGTACAAAAGCAGCTGCACCGTCGCCCGTCTGTTGGCGTTTCAACAGCCGCTAACGTAAGGGGGAGGAGTCGATCGGACCCCCGCGGCCTCTCGGACTCTGAGATGGAGCTGTGCATAAAAAAGACGAGCGTGCTACCCGTGACAATAGGAAGCCGCTGCTGCCCATTTTTAAGGTCCTTGGTCATTCCGTCTCATTCAAGAGGGCAATGACAAGTGTCGAGAAAATCGGGACCCGCTATAACTTCTTGAAGTGAGATTTTATGGCTCAAGATGATCTCCAGAAAAAGCGCCATAAGCCAACGGTCATTATGGGTCCAGGACTCCAGAGGCCACTTTCACCAACAGAAAAATAGCCGCCTGCCGGAATTTTTTGCCTAAAGATCGTTTCACATATGGAGCGTAAACGGTAAAGCCCTATCCGCTTACGAGCCCATCGCGTTTACGCTCCGTATGTGAAGCGGTCTTGAGGCAAAAATTCCGGCAGGCGGCTATTTTTCTTTTGGTAAAACTGGTTTCAGGTCATGATATTTTCCGGGCTGGTAAAAAAAAAATGATGGTCTCGAGGGTACAATTTGGTCGTGATCCAATGCCTTTTACGTGAGCTTTTAACGAAAAACCACCCGCCGCCCCTATATGTACAAGGGTTAAATAGGATATAGCATAGGCGGCGGAACGTGGAGGGCACCGGGGCACCGTGCCCCCTTTGATTTTTGCATTTTAACATTAGCCTTATGGCGTTGCATGGAAAGAATGGGACCAAAAGTCGGCAGTGCCCCCCCCCCCCTTAATTGAAGGTGTTCCGCCGCTATTGGGATATAGGTATTAAATGTTTTGTGGAGGAAGTGTCATGTTTTAAATTTGATGCATTGGAAATGCACAAATACCCAAAGAGTTCCAGGACGGTATGGAATTTCAGTAAACTTGGTTGTGTCAGCAATGGGGTCTGGTAGGTGGGGGTAATGGCCCTGCCTGGCGCCCAAAAAGGGGGCACGGCCCCGAATGACATGCCGACCACTCAGTTGGGGAAACTACGAGGCGAACGTCAAAAAATGAATTGACCAATGAATGGCTTGGGATGCGTGGGGCGGGGCGGAGCCATGCCCATATAAGGTCATGCAATCAATAAATTGACCTGATTTCGTGCATCCTAGTTTGAAAATGGTAAAAAACGGCATATGGAAGTATTATAACCACATACAGCCCATACTTACTCTGTAGAGAAATCACCAGCGGTCCTAATCCAATTAGTCACGATGCCGAACGAATCTAGTGGAGGCGGCCGTGATAGAGAAAGCAGCGGTGTTGAAAAAACGTGCGTTTGTAAATGAAACATGAACATTAAATTTTAATTATATTACTTTATCGTTATAACCCTAAATATGTCAGAAATTTTCAATAAATACTAAGCTGTCGATTTGTCAAGTTTTTTATTTTGAAAGTTAAATATTTACGGCAAGGCAGACGGCCATTTCGGTAGGCGTCGTGTCCCTCTGGATTGTTCTTCCGTTCCAGAAAGGTGTGTGTCCCCGGTTTTTATCTCGTGCCGATGCCACATATGTGAGGATTTGCAATTTTTTGAGTGGAATTTGCATAGGAAGACCTGTTTGATATTTTTCTGTCTCTTTTCTAGTGTAAGGTTGTCTAGAAGAGAAGAAATAGGCGGCGTGAAAATGATGGTGGTTTTGAGACAATTACGGTGCGTGACGCTAGCGTCGTATATTTTTGCTTTTATTATATTTTTGGAGGTCAGGTATTGCGTTAATATGGCAGTTTAAATTTTTTAAAGAAGTGTCAATGCTGTTAGGAGCAATTTCTTTTCGGTAGGTCCTATACCCAATGTTAAAGGATGAGAAATGTGAGCCACCAGTACATTAGGGGGTGACCACTGTGACACTTGACGGTAAGCAGCTGCCCTTTTTTGTAACATTTTAAAATTTATTCAATCTAAATGACTTATCTATTGCTGGGATTGGCTTTTCCTTGCCTTATATCGGTACTTTGAGCAGATGTCACCCTTGCTGCAATATTGATATGTGCGTCTCACGTGTGCCTCAGTCATCTTTTCACAGTTAAATATATAACAAAACATAATCTAACCTGACCTCAACTGTGTCAGCCTGTCTGCCTGTCTGTCTGAACTGAACTGTCTGAACTGTGAGCCTGTCTGAACCTGTCTCAGCTGAAGCCACGGAACTGCTATTCCAGTTCAAAACCCCATGTTAAAAGTAAACTTTTTCCTGTAACAGATTTCATATGTTTCATTGCAGGCCAGCCGTCAGTCACCTGTGGCGGAAGGCAGCGAGGTGTGGCGACCGTCTGGACTCCGGAGGAAGTGGAGGACAGTGTTGAAACAGTGTAGTCCTCAAACGAGTGTTGTGGGTTGATAGGTTTGGTATGGCATCATCAACTTATTTGTTACTGATGATGGTTCCTCATACAAGCAGTTCGCGTAGAATTAAGGAATCAGACATGTCATGGGTTCGAACGAAGGGGGAATTTTACGATACATATTTTTCCTTTGAATTGCGTCATCGCCGCTCGAGTACATAAGTTGCTTCATATGCGGTGACCGTTTAGGCGTATGGCCTGTCAACTTTCTGCTGCGATGATATGCAACAATATCCGTGTGCGATAATCATGCTATGAGGAGCAATATATCTGTTGGAAGCTCGGACGTCATGCTGGTGGGCATATGTTGGTCAATGTTATATATGGCCACATGTTGGCCAATGCTACAAATGGCCCCGATCAGATAACTGGGTGCTCAATTGTTATTAATGAGTAGTGGCGCATGCAGTGGGCATAGGTGGATAATTGTGCCCGAACTGTGGGTGCTTGGGCGTAGCAAATCCGCCGCCGCCCTAGCGGTGACCTTGACCTCCGCCGTCTGTTTCGGCTCCAGAGCCAAACCGGCGTAGAATTGGGAGAGCTCGAGCACCCACAGTTCAGCACCATTCTTCACCTATGTTGATGTGCGGTGGGAGATGAACACTGCCCGGCGGACCGGCTGTGTTCATTTCCAACAGGCGTCTTGGATCACCATGACGAATGGTATGCCGAGGCGACGCCAGTCTGGGTATGAAATACAAAAGAAAACAAAAACGAATCAGTGGTGAGACTGCTACAGGGCAGTAAAAAGGTAGGCACGCGTCTGGCTGCGATTTACTTGTTGTTGTTAACTTGTTGCCCCACGATAACTAACTGATCTGGTGGCTTCACCATCGCCGGACCTAATGGTTTTCCACATGCGCCCCGGCCTTGGACCCCGGAGGGTTGGACTCAGTACGCCAGTACGCCCCCCCCCCCCTCTCGCCGTCTCGATCCTGATGCCGTCTCGATCTCGATAGAGCCTCTTGAAAGAAAACGAGCTCTTCTGGCACTGAGAGCATTGCGAAGTTGTAGCATTTTAGGTGCACAGGCTTACTCTAACGACACACAGGTCAGTGACCTGACCTGACCTAAAAATGCGGTTGGTGTCGAAAGATCGGGCTAGAATCAGTAGCGGCGGAACACCTTCAATTAAGGGGGGGGGGGCACTGCCGACTTTTGGTCCCATTCTTTCCATGCAACACCCAATAGGGCTAATATTAAGATGCCAAAATCAAAGGGGGCCCCGGTGCCCTACCCGTTCCGCCGCCTATGGCTAGAATTAACGGTGAAGTATGCCAACTTTCAGCTCTGTCCCCGGCATTTTAATTTGATACCAGGGTGAGCTAGGAATCGACGTGTATTCAATTGATTGGGAAAATAAAAGCATTCATAAATTGTCATTTTCAATACCGCCTCTTCGTCGTTTGGACAATACCTAGTATCATAATTCCATAGTTATGTCCGTTATGTCCATCCACGAGGCCGGGTGCTGCCGGCCGATGCTGCCGGCTATGCAATTGCGTATATAGGACCTGAGCCCGCATTCGTGCGAACCGAAAGTGCACACAAGGGCAGAAGACCATTGTCATGTCATGTGGCTTCTGCTGTTCGCACTCCCACCGCATCCATATTTTGATCAGCCAGCTGTTTGCCAATCAATTTATGGAATGGCCAGCTGATTGCCAGTCAAAAAATGAATTGGCGCTGGTGCCTAGAACCTGCAGAAAAGACATCTTTTGATCGCCATTTTCGAGTGAATTCCCTGAGTTCCGTTAAGTATTCACTCACAGTCTTCGTTCCCAATGGAAAATGGAACCTAGTTCTCTCCGATGGGTGGACGCGATGCCGCAAGTATTGTCTATTTTCCCGTTAATTACCCGTAATAGCGATGGCTGCATTTATGCCCATATATGGTCATAAGAAATCCATTTATTGACCAATCCATTTTTGGACGTTCGCCTCGTAGTTTCCCCAACTGCACTGCTCTACGTGAATGAAAGTCACGTGACTACTACACGTTTGCGCTCAGTACTAACACACCTAGCCCGAGGGCCAGTCCGTAGCGGGGCCGGAGGGGTAGAACGCCAGAGCTCCAGCGCATTGGAGGTGGTGGTGGCCCGTATCATAAAGAGGCAACCGTAAGCAGAACTACAGTTGCCGCAGTATGAGATTATCACAAAGTTTTCTTTAAATGTATTGATTGACAAGAAAGTGCAATGCTTATCCGATATAACAAAACGGTGTCCAAGGCCTTGGAAGAACTATAAAACATATTCAGCAGCGTATAAATTTATGATACAGGCCATGACCTTTCACCTTGCCTCCGGGGAGGACCGCTCAGGAATCCACATACCGAACGAATCGAGGCCTCCCAGCGCGGCGGCAGAGAAGGTGGATAAACCATCGCCAGATCTTTCGGTTATTTATGTTTCCGGAAGAAGGGTGGAGGGTGAGGGCTGTTTTCAACCCACTCACCAATCCTTTCCTTATTAACTTATAGCTTTCCGAAAAAATGCAACACAATGGTGGCCGTCACGAGATGTAGCGAATAGTGCCTCAGCAACAACGGTTTTGAGTAAACTTTAAGCATTGGAATTCAGGCCAGTGATCCTGAAGCATTATTTTATTTTTGTCGTGCATATGCTGCGATGATGTGGGCCAAGTTGATTGCGAAGAAACGGTTTTAGTTTCAGAACATTTCTGAGGCTAGTCGCACGAAATAGTATACGGTTGTTGCAAAATGTCAAATAGAATGTTGACGTGCTATCCAGATGATGGAATTTATTTGACACAAGAAGTCAAAAAGTGGCATCGTTAGTCATCCTGCATGCCTTTAAAGTTTAAATCGATTTGTCACCTCGGTTCGATCTCAATAGTTGTTCTTGCGGATGATCGGTTTCGTTTTTTTTTTGGGGGGGGGGCAGTTTATGAGCCACCAACCAACCTCCCCAGTCCCCCAACAACAATTGTTGACAAATACTGTGATGACCTAAAATGCCCTCAATTGTGTTACGTATTTGGGGCTCTCAACTTTGATTTGTTAACCTTCGCCCCAGTGGGGGGGGGGGGGCATATGTTACCACCCTGTCGCGTTTTTTGCGTGTGAATAAAAAACCGCGGCGCGTAGCGCCGCGCTGCTTGGGGTAGCTTTTGGTACATCAATTTTGGACAATGTGTGAAATTTTTGACCCCAGGTCATGTCAGGTCAGGTCACCAGGTCAAGTTAACTGACCAAGCCTAAAAAATGTTGCAATCATGTCCAGCCTGCAGTGTTTGTCAGAAAGGTTTGAAACTTGGTGGATTGCATGCTGTTATGGGCGCCTACAATTTTTATATCTCGGATTTTTTTATATCCGTGACCTAAGGTCAGGTCAGTGACGTGACCTTTCCATTACAAGTCAATGGAGAAATATGAAAATGCCTCTAGATCCGTGTGTACACATCGGAACAGTCCAAATATCTCAGAATCACAATGATTTAGTCCACTCGTAATGACCAAGGTGTCATTTTTGCTGCTAGCCTCTAGACAGGTCATCCGAGGTCACTTGAGGCTACAAACAGTTTTTTGCCAATAACTCGCGATTGGAAAAAGATAGAACGCTGGGGATGGTCTCATTGTGTTTGTCTTGTTGAGACGCATCGACTGATATGCAACATGACCTTTTCCGGTAAGGTCATGACCTTGACCTGAGGTCAATTTTTCAAGTTGACCTTTCAAGGTCAAATTATAGTTCATTCAACGCGTCTCGGCAAGGGGAACACGATTCTGGCAATAGAAATGTCGTGGCTTTTTGTAGTCGAAAGTTATTGTCGAAAAACACTTTTCGTAAAAACAGCTATTTTTTGGAGTTTTTGCCCTCTGGAGGCTAAACCGTTGACCTGAGGTCAATATTGATAATGACCTTTTCGAAAGGAGAGTTCAAAAGCTATCGTTTGTTCTTCCATGCGTTTTTCTAGCTACCATAGTTCCTGAGATAGCGGCATGTTTTCTGAAAAACATAATGACAATTGGCAAATTTTGACCTTTGATGACCTCTGGTGACCCCAATATTGCTCTAAGGTGAAAAATGACCGAAATACTTTCAAACGTACGCATTGAGAGCTATCGACTGCTTTTTACCGCGTCTTTCCAGCCCTCTTAGTTTTTGAGTTAGAGGTGGGTGGTAACATATGCCCCCCCCCCCCCCCCACTAGGGCGAAGTTGGCTGAGACCGCCACTGGGGCGCGGGTTTAAGTTATTTGTCTATTCTATTCATTATAAAAGCTGTCAAATTTGCCGTATCATTAAACTTTTATTGAGTTTGTATTTCACACTTATCTAAAATGAACAATTTCATCACTGGCTTCTTCTATGAATGGATGGTCGCATGAATGAACGAATGAATAGCTCTACATCCTTTGAGCATCAGCTGAAATCAATCCTAAAATTTAATCTACCAGTCTGCAACGAAAAGGTTTAAAAACCAGTGCAAGTTAGGTGCAGTTTCTAATCTATGCCGTTTTTTATTAAGTGTCTCATAGCTCCTTAATCTTGAGTCGCTTCTCTCACGATTCATTTTATGTGGTGCTTACATTGTTCAAGAAGTTATAGTGTTCGAGCTCGTTGGTCTTAAAAACTGCTATCGAAGTAAATTAAAGTGCTTGAGGCTTCGGCACTTAAAACCAATCGATATTTAACCCTCACCCATTTACGCATTTCATTTCACCCTCTTAGGCTCTTACACGTAGCGGAGGGGCGTAGAAACCCTCAGCCATTCGGCCCTTGATAAAAGGAGCCAGAGCTTCGCTGAAAAAGAAAAAAAAGAAGAAAAAAAGAGCGAGCTGCTCATGACGAGAGAAATCCGATGATTTGAGGGCCCTGGTCATCGCTGACGAGAGAAAGCCAATTATTTTTATGTCCTGGTCAATGCTGAGATCCTAGATCATGTTGACCTCCCAGATCAGGTTAATAACCCAAAAGCACGGAAAATTGGGTCCTGCTAGAATTTCTACAAGTGAGGTTTGCTGGAACTTGGCTTGCTTCTGACTCCGAATTTGCACTTGCTTTGATCAAAGATGGTGTATCAAAGCATTTGGGGTAGGACGGGTCGCGCCACATCACCCATTAAGCTTTCTGCCGGCTATCCATAGGATGCTAACCAGCACTTACAGCCTTGCAACATATTGCATAGGCACTATAACTGATACCTAAGTATGCCTAGTTTTCAAATGCTAAAATGGGTGCTAAAGTTCAAACCAACACTTCCTAAAAACCACAGTAAAAAGGTGTAAATTTAAGGAAGTTAACCGAGATCGTTTCA